TGTTTTTTTTCTCATTTTGAATGTAAAAAATTTTATTCTATTGGAAAAAAAAGTGCAGTGACTTCAGTACAAGGGCCATAACAGGGGCTATGACCTGTTCTAAAGGGTTACTGGCTGCTGTTGACTCCTGTCTAGAACCACCCATGCCCTGCTGGAATGGACCCAGCTGTCAAAGCTTGCCTAACTCTTCAAGACAGAGATTAATCAATGGATTATTCCTCAGAGATATTGTCAAATACTCACATGAAAGCAAAATTCAGCTGCTGCCGATTTGTCCGCTGCAAATCCATAACGTGCTGTTTGAGCGCAGGCCAAAGGTGCTCTGCTTGATTGAGATCTCTTTAGACTTTTATTATCAGATCAGCTCGAGATCTGACAAAGCAAGAACACTTCAGAACATCTCAAGCAGGGTTTTCTGTTATCTGCTCTGAGAGAATATAAGAGAGCCTGAATGACTGACAGATTACCATTGTAGAATAGAAAAAATCTCTTTATTGTCCCACATTGGGGAAATTCTTGATTCTTTGTTTTTGTTTTTTAGAATACAAAATCATATGTGGCATTGTGGCATATGTATCTAAGCCTCTCTGGTCATGTCATTATCTGACTAAACTTACCCAGAGTTTGAGCAAAAGACTCGGTCACCAAAGTCTCATCATTACATAACATTTCTTCAGTATCACAGAAATAACAGGGAATCAGGAGGAAAATAAAAGAGCTTCAGAAATTCAAAACCGCTTTTCATCAGCGGCACACCTGAACGTTAGAAGCAGCAATTTCAAACAATTACAATCCCCCCCCCCGATTTCAGCACCCAACAGGTTCTGTTGTCAGAAAAGAGACCTCCAACGTCGTGAGATTCAGCTTTTCTTTGAGGCATAATGAGGCTTAGCAACTGCCTCCTTAGTAGCTCTGTTGATCTATTCTGTTTTCCTCTTGCTGTGCGTGTTCACTGCTGATTATCTTATTGTCGTCCCGGTAAGAGCATCATTAAAACATACAGCCTTGTTGTGTAAGCGAGACACTGCTTGATTCCTCATTGATCCCTCTCCATCACACAGTCACACTTTCTCAGCCCTGCTGCCGCTGTCGACGGCTGAAATCTTTGGCACGGTGACAAAAGAAGAGCAGATGGCTCCTCTTATTATTATTCAATATTATTTAGACCAAAAAAATAAGTAAACTACTAACTCAAAGTAGATTTGCATGTTAAGCCTTTTAATATTGTTCGTTCTTTAAGTTCTTAATCTGAAGAAACCAGAAAAGTCAATTCAGATCAAAAAGACTCTTATTTTTGAAACTATAAGGAGCCTTCTGAATGTTGTACCAATCTGGTTTAAGTAAAAATGTATTTATAGGTTATTTAAAATTGTTCTAGACACACAACGGGCTTTAAAAGCTTTGAAGGAAAAGCAGGATAAAAATAAAGCACATAAACAGCAGAACAAATGAATCAAACCAACTTGCAAAACCAACAAAACAGCTGGGATAGAAGTTTTAATGAAAAACTATGAAGAAGGGTAACTACTTAAAAAAATAAAAGTGTTTTGGTCACTGCATCTGAAAGCTAGCTTATAAAGATTAATCTTTAAAAGTTATTTTAAATGTTCCAGAGTTTGTGCAGATTTAGTGCTAAAAGGCAGACTGTCTCCTCAGGAAAATAACCTTAGATTGAAAAGCATTAACTGAGCCCAAGACCCCATTGTTCCTTTTTGGAGCATGAATTGACAGAAGATGGATTGGCTGAAAGGGGGTAAGACCATGTAAAGATGTAACAACAAAAAGTTCTATTTTAAATTGAATCCTAAAGGAGACAGGAAGTCAGTGAAAAGAAGACAACATTGGGGTAATGTGCTCATTTCTTTTCATACTAGTCAGTAAATGAGATGCAGCATTTTGTACCAACTGGAGGCAATTAACTGAGGACTAGTCCAAGCCAAAGTAGAGACAGCTGCAGGAGTCCAATCTATGGTAAAGTCCAAAACTTGGTAAATATTATCCTTACAACAGTCCCACCAAGCAAAAACTGCTTAAAAGACATTGAAAAGACGACATGATTAATGTCCAAATCTACATTTGGTTGAAAAGTGGAAGGTTAAAAGCCATAATTTTCAGATTGTTGCAAAGACATTGAAAACTGGGTTTGCAACATATTTTCAATGTCTATTTTTGGCCTAAAGTGGGACCAATTTAGACCGACCAAACACAACCAAATTTTCAACAATAATTTTTAGACATAATCAAGACTATGACAGACCGACCAGATTTAACCTTAAAAACCAATGTCCCAATCACATGTAATGTTAGGGGTGGAAGCATAAAGGGCCTCCTTTGCAGAGTTCTTAAAGAAGATCATGTCTGTTTTGTTTTCAATTAGTTTTAAACAGTTTAGGGATAACCATAGAATGTGAAATTAGTATATTGCTAATCTAAAAGATAAATAAATCGTTGTATTGCCTGCACGCTCTCACTCGCATTTAAAAAAAAATACCACTCCACATAGTCTAAAATCCGGGATAATTTATCAAATTCGGGGACATCTGTGAACAACTATCGACATCAGGGAATCTCCCGGAACTTCTGGGAGACTTGGGATATCTGCTATTGTCCGCCATTATTAGGGTTTCATATGTCAGGCTAGACCTTCACGAGGAATAATGAGCAGCAGCTGATTTACTATAAGCTTTTTCCAGCGTTTTTGGTGTGGCCAGTTACCTTGACAACTCAGTCACAATTACTATATTAGAGTGCACACTATTGATATCAAGTAAAAAAATGATTGGAAAACAATTATAGGGTGTTTATCTAGTTGCTAGAATTTATACCTTTGCATGTTAATAAGTATTTATACCCTATTAGTGAGCATTTATACCCTATTAGTGAGCATTTATACCCTATTAGTGAGCATTTATACCCTATTGGGTATAAATTCTTGCAATAAACAAAAATTTCCAGAGGGTGTTATTAGGAATACAGTTATTATCCAGCTTTCTAATGTGAAGAGATGTATCATTATTGGCTAAAGTCAAAGGATAAGTAAAGGTAAACTCTGTAAAGAATGGACTGCTTTTCTCCAGGATTATACAACATGCAGCAAAACACTTAATATACTATGAGTATGAAAAAGTAAATATAATTGTTTAATTACAATGTTCAGCAGTTAATCAAAGTCATATTTGGAGTTTAGGATAAAGTACATTTCCGTAATTATTGGTATCCTTTAGCTCTCTGGCTCTTGGAAACAAGCAGTTATTCGTTTGGCCTTTGGAGAAAATTCATCACCACCCTTGCTCTAAAGCTAGTGTAGGTCACGAAGAACATCAAAGGCTCTTTGTAAAGTGTGTAGTCCTCCTCATTACAGAGGACTGTATTATAATAAACTTGTAAAACCACCTGAATACAAAGGAATACCACATGAAACATTTTTAGATGCATAAGATAACAGGTTTAGTAAATTTTTAATAACAGCCCAAGGCTTTTGATTTGCTTGATGAAATGTGCATACTTTGCACATTTGACCTGTACCTGTCTGGTAGGTCTTTGCTTGGCCCCCTCACTATTATAAGACCAGAAATGAAACATTAATTGTTCACTGATCCAAGGAGATTAAGATGTGAGACTTGGGTTCCATCTAGGGAGTTGGGTGGATATACGCCGGCAGATAGAAGTTGTATTTTATGTTTTAAGTTTTTAGAGCTAAGTTACTATAGGTCTTTTTTGTTTGTTTGTTGTTTTGTTGCTTCTTTCCCTGAAATTTCTTCTATCAGTTGTTCCAGTGCAGAAGAAGGAACGGATATCTATTCCCATAATTTGTAACTCATTTTTGGCAGGAAGTGTTTTAAAGGATGATGCCCCTGTCAGACCAATTTAGACAGCGTATGCCTGATGTATGAAAGATCTGCCAAAAACGCTGGCATATGTTGGATAAGTTATGGATACTTTTTGTATAAATTATGAGAACGCTGAAATACGCTGAAGCACGTCACATGTCGACATTTGGCGATTATGTTAACAAATTTTGAACATGCTCAAAATTTCCTGACGTATGCCAGCATATAACATATATGGGGCATAAGTTACAGGTAAGTTATCTGATCGTCGACATATGTTAAGTGTAAGTTACTCATGAGTGGTGGCGTCTAGCTTATCGAAAACCCATGAGTAACTTGTGCATAACTTATTTGCAATGCGTATCAACGAATCTGACGTGTTCCAGATAAACGCAGCGTTTTGGTATGAAATTGGTTCACAGGAGGCAACCGTCAGTTCTCCTCCAGGCTTCAACCCCATTAGGGTTGAAGCCTGGAGGAGAACTGACGGTTGCCTGGAGCCATATGGTGAGAGAGAAGGCGAGTGTGATGGATCCTCCCTGCATTGACTCCCACGACCAACAAACTTCCTAGCATACATGATGCTGAATCTGCAAACCCTCTTTCTTTATTTTACTTTTTTTGTTTTTATTTATTCTTTTTTTTTTGAGAGGTGGTAAACAGCAGGTAGTTTGATACTGTGATCAAAGACATCTTTTTATGCAGACAGGATGCCTCCGGGCGCATCACTGCCCCCCTCAGGACACTGGCTTGTGCATCATTCCATGGGCATTACGCTGCTGTTCATCATGCATAGGTTAGGTTGTCATTGGACATACACACCTAACTCATCATGATTACTCTATTTATACCCCCAAAATTTTTAAAAATTCCTAGAAAGTTCAGTGTGTGCCAGCGTTTTAGGAGATTCTGGGCTGTTAGACATACGTTGGATAAATCTGCAATGTGCGACAGGGGACTTAAATCACATCCATCAGGTCCTATTGTTATTGAAGGGTGGATTAAATATGAATATAGCTTAAAATACTCCCCTCAGCACAGACTCCATGAAGTGTCACACAACCTGCGTATAATTACCAAGTTGCTATAATCCTTTATACATGTTAACCTAAAAAAGTTTAACATACATCCGAGTACCAATGACTTTAAATACTCCTTTTCTTTCCTTAGGTTTAGTATTGATGAAGGGAGAACATGGAACATTCACAACTTTACCAGCACGTCTGTGTTCGTCGACGGACTTCTCAGTGAACCAGGAGATGAGACCCTTGTTATGACGTAAGTAAAAAAAAAAGTAAAAGGCCTGCAACTTGGACACTGTAATCCATGGTGGAGGGGAATTGGCTTCAGAGGTTGGATATAGTGTCAGTTACAGGCATATCTATTATGAAATATTGCCTTTGGTATTATGGATCTAAACCAGAAGAAAGACCCTTGCCTTCACTGTGATGCCTTACCCTGTGTGCCCATTTCATCATCACCCCATTTCTGCAAATTTTGACACTTATATAAGAAGGCTGAACAAAGTCTGAAGATTTCAGCAGTTAAAACAGGCACTTTCTGTACTTAGACAATAGTTAAAAAAGAACAGTTGCTGTCACTGTGCAGATTCACTGTTAAAAGGCTTTCTTTTTCATCACTGGTCAGAGAAAGTGGGCATTTAAGTGCAATTAAGGTTGGTGCTTCCGCAGGGGGTTAACACTATACAGCTATGACGGTTATAGCTACTTGGTTTTCAAAAACAGGGAGGCTTATAAGATGGAATATATGAGAATTACTCAGACATGCTTGAGTCATCCAGATACCAAATACCATTTTGGGCATGCTCAAAGTTCAAAAAGTTGATTTTAAATTGTTAACTAAAATTGTTTACATTTTTTCAGGACAGAGAGATTCTTTTCCTCATATCTTTTTATAGCCTATCAGCTTGGAAAAACGTTTTGCCTTTCTAAATACACGTTTTCTTCTGTAGCTTGCTCCTACTTGTCCTCTTTCACAAGCTACATTTCTGTGGATCAAAGATTGAATCATCATTAACAGGAGCCCAGTCCTATTCCCATTAGCAAGCAGTCATTTAGCATATCTTCAATCATGATCTCTGTATTTTGTAGGATCATTTCCTAATCTCTATACCAACAACCCTGAACTGGTCTGGAAGAAAGAAGATTCTTTTTTTAAAGGATAGGATTTCCACAGCCTGTGAGAAGAGTTAAGGGATTTATTTTCTTTATAGAAAGAGACAAGTGTGTTTCTCATTCGGAACACTTAGAAAAAAACATAATGCTAAATGGATGTTATGGATTTCTTTTTTTCAGAGTGCTGTCAAATACTGTCTACCGAAACTCTCAGAGCTCTTCTCACACAGGCTGCTTATTTCTGATGAGTTGTCTGACGGGGGGTTTACGTTACTCTTCCATCCCAATGATTCTTTCTCGATTTGTTGGAGCGGGGCAACCAATTTCGTGGTGCTAACTGCAGCTGGTCTCACACCTGATTTGCCTCAGAGCTCTCCTCTCTGTCTTGACCTCTAAATTGCCGTTACAGTGGAGGTTGAAGGGAGAAAAAGACCAATCAGCCACATGGCCTTCCTTCCTGTCTCTTCTGTACACTCTGACATTTTTCACCCATACAGTTTGGGATGTGTTGTTTTTTTGTTTTTTTTTTGTGTACGCCTTTCATGCATTTCTCCATGTTGGTTCTTTGCCAGCTGTTGAGATATGACAGAACCATGCTTTTTTAAGACATATTATTCCTTATGCATATTAAACAGGATAAATGGTCCCCATTACAGCAATACTGAATATTAAGCGTTTTACAAGTTATCTGTAAATCATAGATATTTATCTTTTGGAAACGTTCCTTCTACATTAGCCTGTTCGGCCAAACTGATATGAAGTGAATTATGCCCCACTATTGTTGCACGCAAATAACACACTTTGTAAATCAAAATTTGAGAAAAAATGTAATCCAGATATGAAATGTTTTTTAAAAAATGTATTTTATTTTTTCAACTTTCTGTTTTTCACTTTGACTTACTGCATGATAAAGTAATTCTTCTCAAACTGAATTTTATAGACATTCTCTACATTCCTGAAGGCATTTTTTAATAAATCTATGCATCCATTTAATCCCACTTATCCCAAGCGGGGTTGCGAGGGGTGTTGGTGCTCCAGCTGTCTACGGGTGAGCGGTGGGGTTTATCCTGGACAGGTCGCCAGTCCATCGCAGGGAAACACAGTGATAAATAGGACAAACAACCATTCACACACACACTCACACCTAAGGAGAATTTACCAAAGCCAATTTAGCTAACAGTGATGTTGTTGGACTATGGAAGAAAGCCGGAGTACCCGGAGATGCACGCATCCACAGGAAGAATATGCAAACTGCACACAGAAAGACCCAGGGACAGGAATTTAACCCTACTTGTTTGACCTCCTTGCTGCAAGGCAGCAGTGCTAACCACTGCACAACTGAGCAGCCCATTTTTAATAATTAATAAACATAAAATTTGAAGAGAAAAAACCCTACTCAGTGATTCTAAACAATCTGCTTTTGAGAAGTTTTATTTCTAGATTTGTTTTGTTTTTTTATTTCCCTTTAGATCCCATGTTATTTGACTGCAAATAGAATTGCATAGAATTCCCTCATATATAAAACCATTAAAGGCCAGCATTAGCTTAGCGTGAAATATTTTCACAATAATATTAATTCTGTCAGAAACCATGGAGCTTCAATAGACCCAAATGTAGACAAGCAGATGGGGGCAAAACCGTGTATTAAAAAGTATTTTTTTTAAATGTAGAAATGGAACCAGTAAAGAAAGAAGCATAATTTAAATAAATAAAAGAAAATAGACTAAAGAATAAACTATATAGGTAAATATTAAACTAAAAAAAGAACGTGAACATAAATCAACTAGTATTGCAAGACCTAAATAGCACAATTAATAATAGTGTTATTAGTTTTGGCAATGACATTCTAGAAGGATCCTTCCTAAAGTAAACAAATAAATCCTAACTGCAAAAAAACTCAAAATGAAAGATAACACTAAAAAACATACAAGACACAGTAATCACAGCTCACAATAAAAGTAAGAGAAAAACAAATATGCAAAAGTAAATCAAAAGACTCACTGGACCCCAAATTAGTTAAGAACAGAAGCCCTCAAGGTCTGGATCCTGACATCTTTGATTTAGTGTAATCTGCTATTGAACTATTTAATTTTATGATAATACATCTGTTTGAAAAGGATATCAGTAGAAAATCATCCTCAAACTATAACCTATAAACTTCAAGACTTCAGATCTTTTTCAAGCCCAAAGTCTGCCCTTCTTTTTCACTAATCCCTCCATCTGAAAGTGAACTGAAGTGAAACCTCTCACATCACCTCAGACGCTACGCGCAGGTTTACAGATAAGGCCATCTTACAAAGGTAATCCACTGAGAAGGGGCAAAGAAAAGGCCACAAACTCTGAGATACAAACCAACACACACAAGAGGCTTCAGCATACAGGTTCACTCACAATTACCTTCAACATCGATGGGCCAGGCACCCAGGCGTGAATGCTCCTGGTCTGGATCTGGAAAGATAGGGTTGGAGGGTTTTTGAGGGCAGCTGATGTCCGACATATTTGCCAGGCTCTATTTCTTAGCCGCAGAGTTTTTTGATGGCACAGTCTGCCATCCCATAATGAAGTCTTTTAGCAGTGACTTAGCAACAAGGACAGGTGGGTAGGGGGACGGTGCTTATCTTGGACTCATACTAAAGACAGCTGGTCAGATCATAGACTGGACAGATGAACAATACTGATGGAACAATCTATAATAAAAAAAATACCCAATGCTGCATGGGATCATTCTCCCAGCTCACTCCTCATTTGCTTTCTCAACAAACAACATTCCCAGGACCCGTCTCTGCATCCTTTTGGAACCAGATGGCTCCTCCACTGGCTTTATCTCTGTGTTCTTTAACGAGAGGACCCATTAATGGGTGTTGAGTTGTTTTCACCTGGTTCTTTTCAAGTGTTGTTTGTCCACTGATAGAGCTCTAGAGGCTCTGAAGTGCCAATTCACCACTAAAAACACAAACATGTTAAATTAACTCTGAGGCTGGTTGGAGTCAGAGCGTAGATAAAGAATTAAGTCCTACTTTAATAATTAGGGCAATGTCATTTGCTAACTAAGGGAGCATATTTTGGTTTTAGAGAAAGAAGGACAGCAGAACTCATTATAAAGCGTGCGCGTAAACAGGGGATCCAGTTTGGGGCTTTGATAAACAGCTGTGTATTTAAGCTTTTGGCTCCTGTGAGATCTACAGTGCAGGAGTTGGAAGCAGGTTGCATAGAAACATCCAAAGTAACAATGAACTGCATAAACCATTTGATTTCCCTAGGTGACATTCAGGAAATGTCACAGTAAATCTAATGTTTATTGATAACAGAGCCACTGATTTAGAGGCTTCTCAAAATAAGCATACCCCATGGATATTTGCATTTATGTGCTGCAACCTAAAACACTTGTTTGTGGTTTCAATAGGCAGATGCAGTAGTAGCCATTCAATGTTTCCCCACTTTCCTTGATGGGTCCTTGGCTGGTCATTGGCTAGTTCCCTACACTTCTTTCTATCATGATTTGAGGACATTAAGATGTAAAGAGAAGTATTGTCCCCTGGTTAGACCCTGTAATTCAGTGAAAGGGTGGAGTCAGAGTAAAAAAAATATGCACGCCCATGAGACGACCAGTGGCTGGAAATTGGAGGGGATTTTGCTGCCATTCGGCTGGCTTTTGACTGGGAAGGGCCATTTTGAATAGCTGCTACTGTAATTGAGATAAGGAAGATTTTTCTGATTTGTGGAATGGTCTGCACCTTTATTAAACACCCATTTTTGTCATGTTTGGTTTCAGGTTCCTAACCCACGTGCAGAACACTCATCAGACAGGGAAAAAGTTCTAAGGTTTATTTAAGAAAAACACAATCTATAAACACATCCAGGGTTATCAGATCCGGGACTAGTCTCGACTGGGTTCACTGCAGAGGGGGACAGAGTGGTTAGCTGAAGTCCAAGTAATTTGCTGGGTGAGAGAGTGCAGGTCTGTACCTGATCTGGAGTTTGAGCAGAGCGGCAGAAAGGAGGAACCAGGAGGGTCCAGAGGCTGTTGGCAGGCAGAGGGCTTGGCAGAGGCAGAGCTTGGTTTGAGAGTTTTGCAGACAACAGGTTTGAGTTTCCCTTTCAAATTCTTCAGAAACCGGGCAGGCAGGTCTTTGACAGGTTTGATTCTGCAGGGGTCTTCAGAGATCAGACTGACAGATTTCCAACAGAGAAACTCTTCAAGGGTTTCTGGTTTCAGACAGGTTCAACCTGGGAAGCAGAGAAGACAAAACAGATCAGGTTCAGGTTTTCAGGGAGTCAAAGATTTAGACAGGCAGGTTGGCTCAGGCTTGCTAACCATAACTGGCAAACACTCTGGCACTGGAGTGATGTCCTCTGCCTCCTTATATACTGGTCTCCTGATTAGCAAATGAGCTGTGGTGGCAATCAGCTCCGGCTCCAGGAGATCCAGTGCGCCCTCTGGTGGAGAAAGTGGACAGACCTCCAGATCCCAACAATTTTAGTATTTTTTTTTTTAGATCTACCTTTCACTCCACTGATGGCTGCAAGTCTGTCGGGTTACATTTCTGCCTAACTTTTAAACATCTGGAGACTGAATTTAGTTATTTTTATCTGCTCCAAAATTTGTCATTATTCCTATAATGTTGGAAAAACAAACCATTAAAAGACTGAACGGCATAGTGACAACTACATTTTTTCTAAATAATACAACTGAAGAAAGTAAATATATAAAGTTTGACTTCTGGTTACAATGTCAGGCACGTAGTATTCTGTCCAGCAACAGTTGGTTGAAGTCAGGTGAGACGAAGCTCAAGGATAGTCGGGTCCTAGTAGCTCTGTAATAGAGCTGGCTATAGTGTTAAATTATTTTAGATTTAAGACAATCAAAAGACAAAAAAGCAGGAAAAACAAGAGCTCACATCTGCCAAGCTTTTGAACCTTGGTGCTGATATATGGAAGCACAGAGGCTCAGAAGGCATGCAGAGGTTTCCACGTTCCTTCTGGTAAAAATAAGAAATTCGAAATTGAACTTTGTTGACCTCACAATGGAGAAATTAACTCTCTGCATTTAACCCATCCCCTTTTGGGGATCAGTGGGCTGCCATTGTGCGGCACCCGGGGAGCAGTTTGGGGTTAAAGGCCTTGCTCAGAGACCCAGAGTGGCAGTCTATGAGGGTAGGGCCTCGAAATCAGAACCTCAGGATTCCAAGCTCTATGCCCTAACATCTAGGCCACTACTCCCCCTAAGTTAAGCGTTTCCTAATTCTAACCAGCTACACATTGGACAAGTGGCTAGTCCATCCCACAGACATACAGTTTACCAATTCAATGTTTTTTTAGACCTTGGAGGAGGCTGGAGTACACAGATAAGGCCAATACAGGGAGAAACAAACAAACTGCACAAATATGCTTGGTTACAGTGCTAAAAACTGCTTCACTGAGCGGCCCTTTGCTGAACAATTTATAAGTCTTAGTGTTTGATTATTTACCAGTTGTTTAGATGTTTGCAAGCATTTCTTGTTGACTATTTGAGCTTTTACCTATGATATTATGCTATTGCTTTATCAGGATCATGCACAAAGTTGTATTACACTTTATTCGCGATTATCCCTCCCAAGTTCTTCCCTTTTCAAGAAAAAACAGTGGCCAAGCTAAGTCTATATAATGCAATTGTTACCCACCCCCTCCTCCAGGAGGCACCTCTCTTGACCTTGCTGTGCCTGCTCAGTAATCCACACAGCTACTTTGTCCGATTACGATGCAGAAATCAATCTTTTCTGAAACAAATTGGCTCTTTTAACTCCTTAATCCTGGCGGGCCTGTTACTAGGTTTACCTACTTATAGAAATGGCCAAAACACAGTCACATGGTGTTTCATCCTTCACGCCTTTCAAAAGGGGCTTTAAAATTTCTAAAACATGCTTCAAAATAATTTTTTTTCACAAATGCTTTTTGTTTTATGGCTGTGTAAACAAAAAAAATGAGAGTTAAAATTCCAGCTGAAATGTATGACTCTGCAGGAGGAACACAACATCAGGTATTCATTTTTAGCCACAGCCCCTAATGGTTGGCGTCATTGGAAACTAGAGGCTCAGACCTTTCCAACGATGGGTTGGAGATAATTGTGTGACCATTTAAGGTGATGTAACTGGCATGCGTTACATAAGCTTGCATTGTTAATTCTTATTTTCTATTCAGTTTTGTGATATTATTGTGTGTTCATTGCTAAATTTCAATGAAACAACGGCTAAACCATAGAAGCAAATGCTTTGCCTTATGCAGAATGTCTTTTTACTTAATGTGTAAGATGTCTAAATGTGTTTCTTCAAAGTTCGTAAAGACAGCCCAGTTGCCAGAAGTGGGGTTATACAGCAGAAATGAAATGGGCGCAACCCATGCAGGTAGAAGGCAAAGCAGAAGCAGTGAAGGCAAAGAAAAAACATATGTAGGTTACTCCATGATGCAAAAGGCAATATTTCCTCTTAAAAGCCTTTAAAAATAAAACAATTTGGAAAGTTTATTAAATTGTTAAATCCCTATGGCAACATGTGAAAAATAATGAAGGGGTTGAAATACTGTTTGGCTCTTATAATTGCATCAGGTAGACAAACACCAGGTCCTCTTCATACAGTAAAGCCAGTGAGGACAGTAGGAGTCATGCTCACCTTGTTCTTTAATATAGTGATATGTTACCACTGGCAGGGTAACATATGTTGAAGTCACGGGCTTGAGTCACATCAGTCTGCTTTTAAAAGAGATGCTGCGACATCCACTGAGACACAGCAGCTAAAGGCCCTGTGTTACATTGTAGAACACCGCCATCTAGTGGATGATTGCCATGTGTGTCAGGGAGGCTTTATTACTGTGAACCTGAATGCTCATGTTATTGTAAGACAGCTTAAATAATCATCCCTGGAGTTGAACTACTGGTGGATTTTTCCCTCTTTTTTTCTACATTATTAATGAATGAAAACAAATTGAACAAGCCAAGTCAAACACTGGAAAAGCTGCACTTCCCTGAAGCAACAAGTTTATTATTTAAACATGTGTGCCTTGGTCTATTTTCAGTGTTTTTGGCCACATCAGCTACAGGTCTGATTGGGAGCTGGTTAAAGTGGACTTCAGGCAGTCCTTCACACGTCAGTGCACCGAGTCAGATTACGAGGCCTGGCAGCTCACAGACCTGCAGGTAAATCCAACTTAAAGTCGTAAACACAACAGGGGTTACTTCAATTCTCTGACTTTGTAATTTCTGTTAACATAATGAGATTGGTTTAGGATCCCAGAGGAGAAAGAAAATGCTCATGCAGAAGTGGTTTGTGAGTGTTTTGGTGTGCTTCTATCACCCTCAGGGAGAAAGATGCATAATGGGCCAGGAGAGGACTTTCAGACGAAGAAAGGAGAACTCCTTCTGCATCAAAGGCAAAAGCTACACCTCTGCTCTCACTACGAAGCCCTGCCAGTGTACTGACAAAGACTTCATCTGGTCAGCTGCAAATTAGACACAAACAAACCATGAATAAGAAAAGAAATTCTGGAGTCTCTACAACCGTCTGTGACTCTGATTGTTGCTGTAACTTTGGTTTCCATGCAGTGATTACGGCTTTGAGCGATCTTACACAGAGGGCGACCGATGTTTCCCTGACTTCTGGTATGATCCAGAAACACCCCCGGAAAACTGCCACCTTGGACAAAATTACGAATCTAGCACTGGGTAAGTACACTTTCACAGTTAATATAAGCTCAAGGCAAGCAGGGATGTTCTGAAGCAAAGTAAAACCTAGAAGATCATAATTGGATAGATTTTTATATTAACCCTTTTTTAAGGGAACTCAGTGAAATACTTTTAGAATCAAAATTTTAAGCCAATAGGTTTATTAGAATCCAGGAGGATTCCTTATTACTTTTGTAACATAAAAAAAATTATATTTTGATGGCAAAAATCAATGTCAATGTAATAACAAGAGATGCCAACTTTCCTGAATATATTAAGAAAAATAACAAAAGTGCTTCTATAAGAAATTCCTAAAAAACACTTTAAGAGTAAAAGAAACACATTGATTTTTGGTACAACATAACCTTAAAGGCATTTATGCTGATACTGGTACTTACATTTTTTAGTTTATAACTCTAAATATAATTGTTAACTAGGCTTATGAACTTTTTAACATTACCTTTTAACTTTTCAATTGGCTTTTTACATTTTTTCTTGACTTGTTAACATTTTTTTTTACTTAATTTATAGCAGGTAATATATCATTCAAGGGCTCATCTAATTGGTCAAATGCCAAAATAGATGTACAGCCAAATAGGATTGGATCTTTGGATTCATTACATTCAGTCATTCACAGGGTGGGGCAACTCCATAAGGATTTTTCTTCTTCTTCTTTTGCCACTTACACAAATAATAATGATTAAAATTTATTGATCTCACAGTGGAGACATTTACCTCGTGATAAAACAAAAAAAATGATAAAACTTCCTAATGCTCCAGTCCCTCATCAGTGGCATAACCCCATATGCTGGAACAGATATGGTAGAAGTGATAGCAAGGCAGGCTAAAGTTAGCTCCCTTCCAGGATTGATGTCAGTATAGAAGGAGGACCAACATTTCACTTTGGGGGAGGGCGCTTCTCTGGGCTTTCTTATTTGAACACTTCCACATGAAAGAAAAAAAAATATCGTCACTTTCACACTGTGGATTTTCAGACATGTTATCATTGCAGCCCAAAACCAACATACAAGTTTTAACATAAAAAGAAATCAGTTTTCTGTCTGAGGACTCCTTTATGTTTGAAAGATTCATCATAGGCCAGGGCTTGCCAAAGTAAGGGTCGGGACCCCCAATGGTTTTTCACAGTCATTGTGATATTGTCACGATTTGGCTAAGGTTAGTTGACCCAAAAGCAGAGGCAGAGGTGAATCTCTTGTGGATTTAATAATGAGTTAGCAGAAAACAGAGGCTGGTTATCCAAAAATCCAAAAAGAAAACAAAGTCCAAACAAACATGAAACCAGGAATCCAAAAAACCAAAAATCAAAACATGAAAACTAGTCAAAACGTACCAGAAACCATGGAGACATCAGGGGAATCACAAACATAAGGAGGAAGGTTCAGAGAGAAGGAGTTGGAGCAAGATTGACGGTGTTTGACGAGGACCCAGCAAAGGGGAACTGAAGAGAGAGGGCTTTTTAAAGGAGACTGAGACAAAGAGGGGGCTAATGAGGAAACTGGGAGCAGGTGTGCAAAGAACAAGAGAGGGAAAGAGCCAGGGAAGAAGGAGAACATAAGAGGGCAGCAGAGAGCAACAAATAGAAACCTGGAAGACTGGAAATAACAACAAAATGATAATCAAATAACTAGGACTATAAAACATGGAAAAAATAAAACTAAACACTAGAAAACAAGGAGTAAAGTAAGACTTTATGGAGAGCCAAAAAATATCATCCAGTACAAAGGTTTACCATATATTAGATAGATTTAATATTTATTTATTTATTTAACAAAGTATATGACATTAGTTTTATCATTTAAGTTATAAATCATACTATTACATTGTAAAATACACAATTAAATTATTACATTTCCTATTTAATGAGAAATACATTTAAACTAATATATGATAATAATAATTATACATATAATAATAATAGTGCAATATTATTCAAAGAAATTTAATATTAAAAGTTAATAATAGTAATGTTAAAAGTTGAGTGAAATAATAATGATAATTTTTAGCAGCTAGCCAGTTATTTTTAGGCTAACAGTGAAAATGTTTGGCAACATCTGATTTATTTATTATTTTTAGATAAGAGTTTATTTCTCCAGAAGATAATGGTTCTGGTAATGTTAGTGTTTTCATTTTCCATATTCTTTATAACATAACAGGCACCTAAAGTGTAAAAGAAGTAGATGATGATGCAGCTTATATGTTTGGGTATTTATCTCTTGCTATAGAAAAGCGTAGTTCCTCCTAATTCCATCTTTAGGTAGCAAATGTTTTCTTTATTCTAATTTAGCTATGAGCTTACTTTTATGTTTCTTAAAATGGTCTTTTAACCACCTTTCATGCACTTTATGCTAATGCTTTAATGACTAACTCTGTCTCTCAGCTACAGGAAGGTGATGTCAAACACTTGTGAAGGAGGCCTTAACAAGCAGCAGAGTGCCAAACAGCACAGCTGCCCTCTGTTGCCTCCCAAAGGACTGAGGGTCGGCATCAAAGGCCAGATGCTGGCTGTGGCTTCTGGTGACGACGTCACATTCATTGTCCACCAGGAGCAGGTAGGAGGATGGCTGCTTCTCCCCCAGTCCCTAACATGTCATTGGAATCAGTTTAAAGCTGCTGTTTCTTCCGTCTGAACAGGGCGACACCAGCAGCACAAAGTACCAGGTGGACCTCGGGGACGGGGTTCGAACCATTTACCAGAACCTGACAGTGACGGATGAGCCCATCCAGCACCGCTATGAAAAACCTGGCATTTACAAGGTTACGGTGAAGGCAGAAAACATGGCGGGACACGAGGAGACCACCATGTACATCCAGGTCACAGGTCTGTTTCCCAGTCAAATACAATTTTCCATCTTTTAAATTTGAGGTTTTTTATTCCTTTTTAAGGGAGAGAAAGGCCCCTGCCTGCTGCATCAAACCTTCTTTTTACTGGAGCTAAGAATGAAACAAGCACAGTCCTCTTTCCACCAAATTTTACACCTGAATCCAGTTAGACCACAAACCTGGAACTGTCTTACTGTCTATTGGAAGGCTGGACAGAAAGGCATCTTTTATTTATCAAAAGGACTGTGGTCAAAACAATTTAGATTTCTCTTATTTCATATATTGATTTATGCTCTTTACTCACTAAAAAAAGTTTTTCACTCAGTCTGTATCACCTATGTAGCCACACAAGTGGGGTGTGAGGGGTGTTTGTAGACAAGAAATACTTCACTGGAAAAAATCTAAATCTAGATAAGTTGTTTTTTTCTTAAAATAAGTGCATTTGTTCTTGGATTAAGGAAGTAAAGGTGACATCTTGCCAATGGAACGAGACAATTTACACTTAAAATAAGAAAACACAATTGCATTGTCTTATTACAAGTGCATATTATCTATTTTTTTATTTCAAGAGTAAAAATGTCCATTCCATTGGCAAACTATCTTGTTTACCTACTCAAATTAAGGGTGAATACACTTAATTTAAGAAACTTTTACTTATTTCTAGATCGTTTTTCCAGTGTTCCCATCACAAGCCAGATTCTTCATCAAGGTTTATTCATGATATGTTACTGTTTAACCAAAATGTCTTTAATTTGTTTAAAACTACTTTCCATTATTGTAAGTAAGGTGGAAGGAAAGTTGCCCAGATCAGAACAGGGCTGATTACCATGCAAAATAAGGGCCATATGACGAAGTGTTCTCTCTTTGCAAAGATAAAATAAAGTGCCGACTGAGTGAAATCCATCTGTAAGGTTTGCACTACAGATGCAGAAACCTTGTGGACTTAAGATGGCCAATGAGGCCCAGAAAACACACCAAAAGAGGAAAAAAGCATCAGACTGGATCCAAAAATTATAGAACTCTGTTTTTCTTTATATATATATGCAAAAAAGGACCTCTTACATTTCAAAGCAGAGAGGCAAGTATTCCACTCTCTTCAATCACAGCAGAAAAAAAAAACACACAGAGAAGAAAACACACCCACATTTAAACAACCCAGCTTTCTGAATTATCAGCCTGTAAGGGGTGGAAACTTTAACATTTACATTTTCTGTTTGTGAAGAAGTAAACTAAATTAAACCTCTAGAGGAAAAACAATAAATAACACACATTTACAATCAACTTAAACAAATTGAAGCTAAACAATACTCCAAGTCCAGACAAAACTCAAAACATCTCC